CCTATTGTGAACAACAATATCCTGTCATCAAAGGGTAGGAAAAAAGAAACTAGAAATCTCATCTATTGCTGGTGCTAATATGGAACAACCCTTATGAAGATCTCTTTGGCCCTAAAATGTTCTTATTCTATAACTCCATCTTATGGAACTTTTCCTAAGAAAATGATCTCAAGCAAGGAAAATCTGCCAGTTAACCAGATTAGTATGGAAACCTCCTCACTGATCTTCCTGTTTCTATCCTTGCCCTACACTGCCCCCAACCCCTCACGTCCAGCACAATCTGTCTTCAACACTGCAAACAGAGTGACCTGCTCCTCTGCCTAGGACCCTGCGTGGCTCCTGATTTTATCCGGGTGTAAGGCCAAGTCCTTACGCTGGCCTTCAAGGCCTTGTCAGCTCTGCCTGTTTCCTTGGAGACCTCACCTCTGCTGCACTGGCTGTTCCTCCAGCAAGCTGGCCATGCTCCTGAAGGGTCTTTGTTTTTGCTGTTCCTTCTGCCTCGGTGCTTTTCTCCCAGAGACCCATGTGGGCCCCTGCTTCTCCTCAACCCTTCGCCCAGCTGTCATCTTCCCACTGAGGCCTGTCTTGACCTACTTGATTTAAAATTTCAATTCACACTCCTCCCCCTGAACACAGGCTGGATTGCCCATTCCCCTTACCCTGTTCTTGCTCTTCTACATACTCTATAAATTGTCTACGGTGTTCATGCTCTGTCATCCTCACAGAGATGCAAGGTCCAAAGGGCAGAGGTTTTTGTGTTTTGCACTGACACAGTCTAATAACTTGGAATAATACGGGGCACATACATAGGTAGTCAATAAATAACTGCTGAATTTTAAAGTAGAAAAAAAAAAAGGAAACATTTCTAGAAACAGAGCGTTGACTAATTACAATCATTGTAATCAGAGGCATTTAGGACTGATGTAATTAAACCCCCCTAATCTTTCAGCACGATTCAGCCCTTTGCAACCAGGTACTTAGAAAGGGGAAAGAGTCCTTGATGTATTAGGTATTCTTCATAGAGAAGAGGTGCACTGACAGCTTTTCTCTCAGGGCATACCAGGATACCTCGAGAGTCCTGGCATTCAGGGTATTACTGATAGACGCATTGTTGGTCCTGACGGAAAGAGTTCAATAAAGATTTTTTGACTGGAGGAAAGAACAGCTTATACCTTCCATCCTGGCTGCACTGGGCTCCTGGCTCCTTTTAAGTTGGGGAACAATCTGGGAAGTGGAGTTTGTTCTCAACAGGTCATCGGAACAGGGTAAATGTCGGGTCAACTGCAGAAGCCCTGACCTGCGGCGAGGGCTCACATATTTTACAAAGCTCTTGTGTTTCGTCGCCACCATGGTCGTCTTCACTCCTGTCAGTGCACAGCCCCCGCTTCACTGTTTTGACTTCTGTCAGGCTGTCGCATCAGAAGCAGAGGCTTACCTGCCATTGTGCCTTAGGAAGACAGATGCCTCAGTGCTAGTGGGCGCTCAGTTCTTACGGGCTCAGTTACTTTATCCAACCAGTTTGATAACTCAGAATTCAAGTTATTCTCACGGATATAAATTTTTTTCTGATTTGAAACCAAAAACATTTAATATTAAACACTAAACTTAGTATTAACTTTATTCCCTTTTGGGTTTTTTGTTTGTTTGTTTGCTTGTTTGTTTTTTCTATCAGGAGGCAATGAGAACATTCTGTGCCTGAGCCCACTACAAAGACAGACCTCTAGTTTTCTTTCTTCTCTTAGGGGAATAGTCTCAAACAGAACATCAATGTGGAGAAATTCCCAGTATGATCTATTCCTTGATTATTTAAATCAGTGGGTTTAAAACTTTAATGGGGATGAGGGGAAAACATGTTTGGGGGCCCTGCCTCCAAAATTCTGATTTAACAGATTTTTAGGGAAAGCTCAAAGACTTTTAAGAAGCTTTCTAAGTGATTCTGAAGCTGGGGTTTCAAAGACCCCACAGATGAACCTTGATATACATGGGGACAAAATGTACAAGGAGGATGAAAGACACTACCCAGAATTTATAGATGTGATCCACTCTATAATAAAATAGTAATAATAAGTAATAAAGATAAATGAGCAGTCACAAGACATATCTTTATCTATGACAATGCGATGATGTCTCTTCTCGGAATAAATCATCAAATGCTGCTATTAATGAGTACACAAACTACTAAAAATACATGTAGTCCCTGATGGAAAAATGGATTTTATGAAATTCAATGCACTCCTTCTGCACAAAAATAGAAATTAAATGCACCATGTATGAAATGATTCTGTATGTGAAAAATAAAACCTCATAAAAGTTTCAGACATTTATAACAGCAAGTTTGAGAAAAGTGAATCATTGATAGTCTACCCCTTTGATTTTTCACATCCACAGGTATTGGCTGTGGGTGTTACTTAAATCCATCCACGGGTCACTTTTGGTTTCCTGATTTGTTGCAGGCAATTTTAACATTGATTTCTTTTTTTTTTTCCTAGGAGTTTTCCTTTATAACTATATAGTATAAAATCTATTCAATTTAATTGTTCCCTGGGAAAGGGCTGGCAGAGATCAGGCTAGTCTGGAAGACACTATAAAATGATCATGAAATAGCCATTCAATTAAATATAACTATTATAATGATAGCCATGTAGCAATGTAGAAAGATGCCTATAAGAGAAAAATTAAAATTCAAGATTATATATTAAGATTAAACTATGTAAAACCATATACTATGCCATATACTATGACAATTTTGATTAACTGTACTATAGTGAGGAAGGCTCACTAGGTAGCAGCTAAGAACTACTGACATCTAGAAGAAGAGTCGTCAAACGTATTGAGTTGCCTTACCAGACATGGCCTCTCTCTTCCAATTCTCAGAAGATTAAAACACTACATGTCACAAGCCCATTTATTTGTTCTTTGATAATTCAGCTTATTGTTCACAGCTACTGCAATAATAGTTGTTCCTGATTTTGTTTCATTATTTTCACAACATAAAAAAATCAATAGATCAATAAATAAAATAAAAAACAAGATTCTCTCCTCACATTCTTAGATGTCCTCCAAAGAAGTTTACACATTCTTTTTTTTTTTTAAGATTTTATTTATTTATTCATGACAGACACAGAGAGAGAGAGAGAGAGAGAGAGAGAGAGGCAGAGACACAGGCAGAGGGAGAAGCAGGCTCCATGCAGGGAGCCCGACGTGGGACTCGATCCCAGGTCTCCAGGATCACAGCCCGGGCTGAAGGCGGCGCCAAACCGCTGGGCCACCGGCGCTGCCCAGTTTACACATTCTCAAAGACATCTCAAGTGAACATTACCATGTCACTTGGGCTAATCACTTAAACTCTGTGCCTGTTTCCCCATCTGTAAAACAGGCCTACTCTGAGCTTTTCCTACATCATAAGGCGGCTTTATGTGGGGAAAAAGCACATGTAGCTGGGTAGAAAAACACAGGATTTAGAGCCATACTGTCAAGAGTTCTAATTCTGGCTCTGAAACTTATTGTGTGACCTTAGGCAAATTACAGAACTTCTCAGAACATCAATACGAAGTGGGCAATCTCAACCTTCTAGGGGATATGCATGCATGACATCGAAAACAGCACCTACTACACAATAGATGCTGAAGAAATGGTAGCTATTGTAACAGTACTTTTTAACTTCAAAACATATTACGCAAAAAAAAAAAAACCCAAACATATTATGCAAATAGAACATGCTAATAATGGTATTACAAAGAGAAAAGGGGAGAAAAATACCTGAACAGGATTGGCAAGAGAAATACAGTAAGGGGAGTGTGAACACACACAGTTTGCTTGGAGAGGGGTGAGTAGCATGGCATGGCTGGAGGGTGGGGCCCCTGAGGAAATTAGAGGGTCTGATTTTTATTCTCCAAAACATGGAAAGCCATGGAAGGCATTCTGAGAAAAATGTAACAAGGCAAGACCTTTGCTTTAGGAATAACTGGAAATGTGGAGGACGTTATGAAAGGAAGAATAGCCAGAGACAGAACAACTTATTTAGGAGACAAGAAGGCATGAAATAGAGCTGCAGCAATGGGAATGAGGCAGAGGGCTGGGTCAGAGAGGCATGGAGAAGAGCTAGGAGGCTGCTGTAAGGATCCAAGTGAAATAAAGGGGGGAAACCAGCACATGGTGGGTGTAAAGCAGTGGAGAGAGCCAAGAAACATTTAGATGATCTTCACAAATGAAGACAGCTGAAGGAGGTTCAATATGATTTCAAGGGTTTGAGTTGGGGCCTAGGAGAATGTCCATCCCACTGCTGAAGAATGAGGGAGGATAAGAGAGTTCAGTTCTGGACCAGAGGGGTTGCAGATATTTATTTATTTTTTTTTTTAATTTTTTTTTTTATTATTTATTTATGATAGTCACACACACACACAGAGAGAGAGAGAGAGAGGCAGAGACACAGGCAGAGGGAGAAGCAGGCTCCATGCACCGGGAGCCCGACGTGGGATTCAATCCCGGGTCTCCAGGATCGCGCCCTGGGCCAAAGGCAGGCGCCAAACCGCTGCGCCACCCAGGGATCCCGATATTTAAAGAGATGTCCAAGAGACAGACCCCAGGTGAGAGACCTGGGCTTCTTATGGAGACTGGGGCATCATCGCCAGAGAGGAGAATTTAGACAAAGGGGAACAAATGAGAATCAGAGAGTTTAGGCCCTCTAAAATAATAAATTCTAGGAAAGAACCTTAATAAATGTAAACACATTTACACAAGACTAATAAGAGGACAGAGTCTGGCTAAAGAAAGTTTTCATCAGCAACTTGAAAAAAAGACAAAATGGTATGAAAATGAGAATAAAACCTACAAAAAACTAACTTACTAAATTTGTAATTTCTACATTAACCTATAGAAATAAAAGCTAATAATATTGATGGGTTCCTTCAGCCATAGAAATTAGAACTGGTCAAACTCAATGCTTCTAAATTTCTGTTATGATATTAAACAAAATCTTTTCATATCAATAAATATGCAAATAATTTTAAAATATCGGTCTTTATTTACATATTGTGTATCTCAAAAAAGGCTGGAAAAACAATGAAGTTTCAACAGGAAATCAGTAAATCCTCATAGATCTGCCTATTGCTAGCACTTGGAGGAAAGGGAGTCGTGGAGTCCTTGGAGATGGGAGTCTTGATAGCCAAACTTCAAATGTTCCATCACTTGCCAAGGAAGTGCCACACTTGATCTGTGTTTGAATGGGAAAGAGGATGTCAGGGAAGGGGTAGAGAGCAAGGGAAGGAGGAAAGACAAATCTGATTTAGACCTTGAGGAAGTACTTAGGCAGATAAAAACAATCATAAGCTTGGTCCGACACTTTTCCCTATTTCAAGTAACTCCCCTTTAAACTTTTGTCCTAAGTTCTCTTACTTGGCTAAAGCCTTATATAAAACTGTGCTAAACATTCCAGAGCCTTCCCATTTTATTCCCTACATCTTTCTGGATCATTTTAGAATAATATAGAAGTTAGTCTAGGAAAACCTTGCACTGTAAAATTTGCCTGTCAAATATCCAAAATGGGATAGTATTGCAAAGAAACAATTTGTTAGTTTCCCATATAAGGAATATAGTTTGCTTTCCCATGAAATGTCTACAGATCTGCTTTTTTCTAAACATTGTAGAACTTGACACAGTAAATAGTTCTCATTTTTCCCCCAATTTTGAGAGTCGAATGCTCTTCTTATATTTTATATTAAATTTACAAAGGGCCAAAGAGTTTGCAAAGTTTGAAAGATCAATGAAATGCACCTATGCTTATATTTTGAAAATTTTAATACACATTTTTACTTGTTTCTCAAAATGGCTTCAAATAATGGTAACAAGAAATATAGTATTTTCAATCCTACTATAAATTTTGATTTTAAGATATTTACTTAAAATGAGTGATTCAGCTGTTCCTGGGTGGCTCAGGCAGTTAAGCACCTGCCATTGACTCAGGTGATCCCAGAGCTCTGGGATGGAACCTCATGTCAGGCTCTCTGCTCAGTGAGGAGCCTACTTTCTCCCTCTCCCTGTGCTCTGCCAATTTGTGTGCTCTCTCTCTGTCAAACAAATAAGATCTTAAAAAAAAAAAAAGTGAGCGATTCATGAAAACAATGAGCTAATAAAGAAAATCTCCCAAATTCAGATATCTTGAGTCTCTTTAAATTTATCAGAAGTACCTGAAACCTCTCAGTATGTCACCAAAAAGTTACTAACATAATCAAACTATTTTCTAGCCTAAAAGTAATATATATGTGCTCCTTCTCTTTTTCTGAAATTAGGAAATAACTAGTTTCATCTGAAAATTTTAACATGTATTTTAAGAAGCATTTTGCTTGATTTATACCACCTTTAAATTAATCTATTGTACTTTTTCTGATTTCCACCACTATAAACAAATTTGCACATCTAGTTCCTCAGGAACCAAAATATATCATACCTTCTGTATTACTTTCTTGATTCGGTGAAGATGACACCTGAAAGATAGAAGCAGAGAAAAGTCTTTGTTATGAATATTTAGATGTGGAAATCATATCCACAGTGTTTTTTTTTTCATGAAATTATAAAACAAACTTTATACACAATGGTTCTCCAAGCTGAAAAAAGTTAAGTACTCTTCTTTGCCTTAAATTATCATTGCTGCTTCTTTCGGATAAACAAACCACAGACTTTACAGTCAAATAAAAAAAAAATGCTTGAAAATACTTTTCTCATTAACCCACAGGAACTACTGAGAATGCAAAGAGGAGACAGAATGGTTTTCTTTCTCTGGCTGAGGAAGAGAGGACAAAAATCCAACATACACACATTGATAGATATGCATGTACATACACATTATATAATGTATTTAGCTGTCTTCTAGAGCATGTACATTAATTTTCCTGTTTATTTTCATCACTGAGCCAAGATTTTTTAGAACAGATGTAGTATAATCTGTGGTAAACAAGTTCAAAAGAAAGGCTTTTCTGAGATATCAGATATTTTTTTTCCTAATTAAGAACAATACATTTTTTAGCTTTTTTTTTTAAGCATTTTATTGAGATCCCTCATCCATGGAAAGGAATGTACAAAGCCCAAGAATAAACCTCTATGTAATCATCACCCAAGTCGAGAAATGGAACAGGCCACGTCCTTCTCCAATCATAACTTTTTCTTCCCTTGGGATAATGAAGTGGAGCTCATTATACTTTATGGAGTATACTCCATCCTATCTTGGAGTATCTCCATTCCTTCTAATGACTTGGAAGCCTTCCTCTAGCATTCTAGACACGTCAGAGACTGCCCGAATACAGAAGAGTAAGGAAAAGAGGCACATGGCCCTCAACGGGCCCTACTTCTATTCCATCTGTATTGAGAGCCTCAGTTGCACAAGGGCAAAAATTCAGCCCAACATCTGTATACTTCCTGCCCCCAAAGATCCACCCAATGGTCCCTGGAGAATTTAACAGCAAGCACCCTCTCCCCAAACAGGCGTATAGGTACCTGGGCAAAAGATTCCAGGATTTTGAGTAGCTAGAGGATGGTATGGAATGGGGGGCTTGGTTTCTGGTGAATGCACAACTTTGATCCCTTGCTCTTGCCCTGTGGGGAGGGATGTAACTGGATGATGAAGGCCAAAGCATAGTAGGGCTCTCCTTGCTTCGGTCTAAGGCAGTATGAAACAAGTCAGCAGGAAGAAAAACTTAAATTTCAGCAACATTAAGATAGTCCCTGTGATAGTTCATGTCACCTTGGAGAGTGTTTTTAGCTGAGATTAACATTTAAATTGGTAAACTCTCAGTAAAGCAGACTGCTCTCCACAGTGTGGGTGGGCCTCAACTAATCAGTTGAAGGTATGATTAGAACAAAGACCAGCCTCCCTAAGCAAGAGTAAATTTTCCCAGCAAAATACTTTTGGACTTCATCTACATCACTGGTTCCCCTCTGTCTGTAGCTTGCTGACCCACTCAGCAGATTCTGGACTTGCTAAACCTCCACAATCACTTTTTTCATTTATCGATACATCTTATTATTTCTTTGGAGAACCCTAATACATTCCTCTAAATCATAACTAGCTTAAAGTTATTTTTCCTTCTACTGTTTAAGAAAAAGGCTAATCAAATATAGTTTATGTTCTGTCATAAAAATTATGTAACAATGTAAATAAAACATCTGTATAAATTATAAGTAGAACATCCTGGAGATTTCCAAGTACTTCATAAAAACAATAAAAATTCTATTTAGCTTCCTAGCACAGAGAAAATACTTAATGATGGTTGGTTCTCAGGATGATAGAACTTACATAAATCTGGGTGTAAAAATAACACCACAATATAAAGATTACACTCATTGCAAGTAGGCCTTGGGATTTGATGGTTCTGTTTTACTACACAGACAAGACAGTAACTTGTTTATTCTCTGAAACTGGTATGCTCTTTCAATTGTGCAGGACATCTATCACAAAGTTTGTCGGAAAGTTAGCTGTTTAGATTTCCTGTTTAAAATAAGCAGCTGCTTCTTGCTGGAGCTGTCAAACATTTCGGAGGAAGGAAATGTATGGTATATAGGCATACATCATAGATGCTGCGAGTTTGGTTCTGCCACTGTAATAATGCAAATATTGCAATAAAGTGAGTCAAATGAATTTTTTATTTCCTAGTAAAGGTTATGTATATACCAGAGTCTACAAATGTGCAATAGCATTATGTCTAAAATAATATTGTATATACCTTAATTTAAAAATATTACTAAAAAACACTGTCACCTGAGCTTTCAGTGAGTTACAATCTTTTTGCCAGTGGAGGGTCTTGCCTTGATGTCAATCAATGACTGCTGATTGATCAGGATGGTGGTTCCGTGGGTTTGGGTGGCTTAGCAATTTCTTAAAATAAGACAACAATGAAATTTGCCATACCAATTGATTCCTCCTTTCATGAATAACTTCTCTGCAGCATGTGATGCTGTTTAATAGCATTTTACCTGCAGTAGAACTTGTTTCAAAACTGGAATCAGTACTCTCAAATCCTGCCACTACTTTAGCAACTGAATTTATGTAATATTCTAAATCCTTTGTTGTCATTTCAACAATCTTTACAGAACCTTCACCAGGAACAAATTCCATCTCGAGAAAACAATTTCTTTGTTCATCCGTAAGAAGCAACTCCTCATCCATTCAACTTTTACCATGAGATTTCAGTAATTCAGTCACATCTTCAAACTCATCTTCTAATTTTAGTTCTCTTGCTATTTCCACATCTGCAGCTACCTCTTGCACTGAAATCTTGAACCCCTCAAAGTCATCCATGAAGGTTGGAGTCAAGTTCTTCTAAGCTCTTGTTCATGTTGATATTTTGACCTCTCCCTATGAGTCACGAAATGTCTAGAATGGTGAAATCCTTTCTAGAAGGTTTTCAATTTACTTTGCCCAGATCCATTAGAGGAATCACTTATCTATGGCAGCTACAGACCTATGAAATGTATGTAGTTAAGTAGTAAGACTTTAAAGTCAAAATTACTCCTTTGATCTATGTATGGGCTGCAGAATGCATGCTGTTTTAGCAGGCATGAAAACAATATGAACCTCACTGTACATAACCATCAGCTGTCTTGGGTGACCAGATGCACTATCAATGAGTAATAATATCTTGAAAAGAATCTTTTTTTTCTAAGCAGTCAGCCTCAACTGTAGGCTTAAAATATTCAGTAAACTGTGCTGTAAATAGATATGCTTTGTTGTTTCACTTATAGAGCACAAAGTAGATTTAGCATAATTCTTAAGGTCTGAGGATCTGTGGGATGGCAATGAAGTCACCAGCTGCATTGGCCCCTAACATAACAAGTCAGCCTGTCCTTTGACACTTTGGAAGCCAGGCACTAACTTCTCCTCTGGCTAGGAAGGCTGTAGATGGCATCTTCTTCCAATAGAAGGACTTTTTCATCTACACTAAAATCTATTGTTTAGTGTAGCCACTCTAATTATCTTAGCTGGAGTTTCTGGTAATTTGTGGCAGTTTCTGTATCAGCACTTGCTGTTTCACCTTGAACTTTCGTGTTAAGGAGATAGCTTCTTTCCTAAAACCTCATGAACCAATCTCTGCTAGCTTCCAAATGTTTTCTGCACCTCTCTTTTCTTCCTCACCTCTCTGAGCCTTCACAGAATTGAGAAAAGTTAGGACCTTGCTCTAGATTAGACTTTGACTTAAAGGAATGTTGTGGCTGGTCTGATTTTCTGTCCAGAGAATTCAAACTTTCTCCAAATCGTCAATAAGGCTGTTTTACTTTCTCATCACGTGGGTGTTCACTAGAGTAGTCAAGAACTCTTCCTTCGCATTCACAATTTGGCTAATTGTAGGAAGAGGCCTGGCTTTCGGCCTGCCTCAGCTTTCGACATGTGCCTTCCCCTTAGTTGGTTTTAGCTTTTGATATTTATATCAAAAAGGATGGAAGGATGTGGGACTCTTCCTTCCACTTCAATACTTAGAGGCAATTATAGGGTTATTTATTGGCCTAATTTCAATATTGTATTGTCTTGGACAATAGGAAAGCCTCTCTTTGGGTTAGATAGAGGAACAGCCAGACAGTAGAACAGTCAGGATACACACAACATTTATCCATTAAGTTCACAATATTATGAGTGTGGCTTGTGACACCCCAAAGCAATTACAATAGCAACATCAAAGCTCCCTGATACAGATCACCATAACAAATATAATGATAATAATCAAAGTCTGAAATATTATGAGAATTACCAAAATGTGACAAAGTAAGCAAATGCTTTTAGAAAAGTGGCACAAAGCCAATAGACTTGCTTAATACACCGTTACCACAAACCTCAACATGTATACAATGCGTATCTGTGAGGCACAATAAAGTGAACAGCAATAAAATGAGGTATGCCTGTACAAAATAGAATAACTGAGCAACTTCTCATTAACCAAAAAATACTACAGGACAGAAATGGACAAACTACTCTAGCCAAAACATTTATCATTACATTTTATTTAAAAGATAATTTCCAGAATGTTATTTCTTCATTCTTTTTTTCAAAGATTATTTTTCAGTAATCTCCACACCCAATCTGAGGCTTGAACTCACAACTGCAAGATCAAAACTCATGTGCTCTACCAACTGAAACAGCCAGGGACCCCCTTATTTCTTCAACCTTAAAATATATTTCTTGGTTAGTAGAATATATTCAGTATCTACAATGCCTTATATAAAAGAAAACAAACATCAACAATAAGTCTAACACTCAGAGATAAGAACACTTAAAGTCTGGGGGTCATTTTATTTTTCTACATTTTTCCATATTAACATATGCCAAAAGAGAGACTAACATTTACATTCGAACAAGGGGTTCATGATACACATCTGTTCTTCACCTAGAGGCAATGGCTTCCTGAGTCTTAAATGGAACAACAAACCACAGCTGCTTAAATAAAGTGAAGGAACTAAGAGAAGCACAGAGCAGCACCTAAGTGACCCAATCCCAACTCTG